GGCCTTGTCCCGGGCACTGAAAGGTTGCTGGTTCGGTCAGGGCACATGCCTGGATTGTAGGCTCAATCCCTGGTAGGGCGTGTGCAGGAGGGACCCTGATGGATGTTTCATTCTCACATCGATGTTTCTCTCTCTCTCTCTCTCTCTCTCTCTCTCTCTCTCTCTCTCTCTTTCTCTCTCTCTCAAAATCAATAAAATATATATATATATATTTAAATGCCAACTCTTCATGGTGAATAGGATAATGTTTGTAGTGTGCTTTGGACTTGGTTTGTATTTAAAAAGGGGTAGTTAGAACCATTTCCCATAAGAACAGGAACAAGACAAGGATGCCCACTTTCACCACTCCTGTAAGACATAGTACTAGAAGTGTTAGCTGTTGCAATTAGACAAGAAGAAATAAAAGGCATCCAAATTGGAAAGGAGGAAATAAAACTGTCACTATTCACAGATAACATGATACTATACATAGAAAACCCTAAAGACTCCATCAGAAAACTACTAGATTTAATAAATGATTTTGGCAACATAGCAGGATATAAAGTTAATACCCAGAAATCTATGGCATTTTTCAGACCAATAATGAACTCTCAGAAAGGGAAATCAAACAAAAAGGGGTAGTTATTATTATTAATCCTGCCAAATCTAGGGCTGTATTATTATAACAGGTGCTACCTCTATCACTTTCTTGCCTTTTTCTTTTGTTTTACTTTAGTGGAACCCAGTGTTCTCAGAACCAGGCTGGACAAGCAGTATCCCTTTAATATTAGTGTTATAGAAACATGTGTTTCAGTAGTTTCCTGTGAACCCTGGCTATGTTCTTTCAAGCCAGATTCAAGTCCACGGTCCTCTTCCCAAATACAGGCCTGTAGCAAAAATATAATTTGTTAACTTCCAGCAGAACCTCTTTCTGGGAACTCCATTAAAACAATAAATGAAAGAACCATTGATTTTTTGGATTTTCTTTATAAAGGAAACTAAAATGTCCTTGTAAGCTCCTTGAGGGTAGGGAGGTGATTAACACAAACTAAATGTCCCATTGTGCCCTGTACCTAGCAGCCACTTTGTAAATTCTTGTTAAATTGCATCAGATTGACTTGTTCATGTAAGCTTTTTTTGCTGTAATTGAACTGTACATGGAAATTAATGTGGCAACAAATAGCCTCTTATTTTTGTGTTGCATTGCAGATATTGTATATGATACACATGTGCATTCTTTCTTGTACAAATTCTTTTCAATGCCTCAGTAGCTTGTAATGTGAAATGTACAGTTGCAATGTTAATGAGGCAGCACAGAAAGTGAAGGATAAATGCTAGATGTATAATTAAATTCCACAAATGAGTTTTCTCCCTTGATTTAGGTATATAATGATAAAGGCATTCACATTGTTCAAATTCTATTTCAGTAGCACCAGGAAAGCACCAGTGCTATCCAGCTTTGATTGATGGTTTTATAATGATGTCCTATTGATCCAATGTTAGTGAACTGCCACTTTTGTGGCAGTCAGTACAACTAATACTCATTCCAGCCCTTATTAATGACAAAGCTGTAGAACTCCTGATATATATATATATATATGGCAGGGAGGAAAGCCATCAGCTAGGCCACAGTGGAGCAATGCCCTGACTTATGACTAAAATGAAAATGTAGATAGTATTTTTAACTTATGTTGTGTGTAGGATAAAAAAAGATGTGATGAAAGACCTTGGAACCATTTCTTTAAATATTACCCAGGTTTTAAAAATATATTTTAAAAATTTATCTTTATTGTTGAAAAATACAGATGTCTCCCCTTTTCCCCACATTGACCCCCTCCACCCTGCTACTCCCCCCACCAGGTCTTCATAGTACTATTGTCTGTGTCCATGAGGTATGCATTTAAGTTCTTTGGTTAATCTCCTTCCGCCCACTGAGATTCATCATTCTGTTCCATGCTTCCATGTCTCTGGATCTAATCCTCACTGGAAGATTTGTTTACTGATCTTAGAGAAAGAGGATGGGAGAGAAAGAGAGAGAGGAGGGAGGGAGGGAGAGAGAGAGAGAAACTTTGATGTGAGAGAAATATCAATTGGTTGCCTCCAGAACCAGGGATTGAACCTGACCAGGAATTGAGTGTACTGGATGATACTCCAACCAACTGAACCACCTGCCAAGGCTTGCCTATATTTTTGAAAATGATATTATCATCTGTGAGACTATAGGTCAAAAACATAATTGCTTATAATCTGTATATTAGGTTTTATGTATATTTAAAATGTTATGTTCCTTGAGTTCCTTTTGACACTTACACAATACAGTGAGATCTTGCCACAGATTTGGACAGCCTTCAAACTAACTGAAGTACTGTGTATCCCAGTAGACTCCTTCTCACTGTGTTAGATCATAAAAACATAATGGATGTTTAATGGGTCCATAGACTTGTAGTCTTTTGGAACACCAAAGGGAAGGGATTTCTAAACACTAGAATTCTCCACTGAAGACTGTCTACTCCTAATCATCCTCATTCAAATAGAACAACAGTCATTATAAGTCAGAAAGTAAATATTTATTAAGTGCTTTCTAGTTGCCAAAAAGTGCTAGATGGATATGCCTTCTGGGGCTGATTATTATATACAAAGTAATAGTTAGCATTTGGATACATGATTTTCTTCCTCTTAACCAAATTATAATTGTTATGTGTGGCTTTAAAAAAAATAATTGCAATCTTACCATCAACTGGAATGCGAGTTATCCTCACTTATCCCTCCACCAAATAACATAATGAAACAAAATCTAACCCAATGTAAAAACAAGGAAGTCAGAGAATTTCATGTTAATTTTAATCCCTTTTACCTTGTTTCCCCTTTCCCTCTCTAGACTCATTTGAATCCCAAATCATGGAATTTTAGAGGTAGAATGGAACTTAGAAATCATCTCGTCTAACTACCTTGTTTTCAGTGGCCTAAGGAAATAAAATGATTTTCAGAAAAACATGCAACTAGCTTGTGGCAGACCAGGGACTTGTTGAGTATAGATTCTAAAACCCTTGGGTAACCTTTCAATAGCTGTTCACATTGACCTAAATATCACCCAGTTCTGTATGTGACTCTGTAGTATTTGCAGCCCTCTTTTAAGTAGAATCCTTCTATGGACAAATAAATTGTCTAACTCCCTAATTTCACACACGTGTAAATGGGCACTCTAAGAAGTGGTTACTTTTCCAAGGGCACACCAATTCTTAGTGGTATAGCCAGGACTGGAGCCTTGGTGGCCTGACGGCCATGTATTCAGATCCCATTCAGAGTTTACCCTATCTTTGCATGAAAATAACATCTGTATGTAAAAAGTCCCTAAAAGAGGTCTTATTGATGTTTTCAACCATGGAAATCAAATCCTCTAGCTTAAGGAAGAAGTCTTTATTGCACAGGCATATACTCATGAATAGATTTTTATCTTTGCTACAGGTAATGAGAGGATACTGGGAAAACCTGATTAGTGTTTATTTTATTCCCTGTGGTAGAACCCTAAATATTAATCTCAGGTCTGTTCTTTAAGCTGAATCCTCTGTTTACAGGAATATTGACAGATGTCCTTGGACAAAGATGATATGAAATAGAAAATTTTGTTAGTATTCAAGGTCCTAAACCAGTGACTCATGAAGGAAAAATAAAAGGAGAAGGAGGTACCTTAAAGAGGATATTATTTTTTCTTTCTTTTAAAACCAATACAAGTTAATTTGGGAATTTGGAATATAAAAAGCATAATGAAGAAAATTAAAATAACCAATAACTGTACTACCCAGTCAGTAATAACCAAGATTATTTTGATACATTTTTCTAGCCTTTAGTTTGTATGTTTATAAATGTATTTATAGGATTCTTATGATACAGTTTATAAACATTTATATTTTTAAATAAGGATATTTCTGTCATTTTATATTATGAGTGTAAACACCGCTTTTTAATGAAGGTATTCCACAATGCATTTAACCTGTCTCCTATTGTTGGATATATTTTTCCTTCTAGTTTTCACTATTTACAATACCACCTCATATTAGGTGGGAGATTTTGAGAACCTAGTCAGAGGGAGTGTCTGATGGGGCAAAGAGAATTAGGTGGCATGCTGGTTTGCAGTATTTTGGGGAGGGGGTGTCTTTTAATTTTAAAAATTGCTCTATAACAAGGAAATCACATTCTTTACGTTCTGTAAACCTGAACCTTCTGATCTTGTTAGTTATACGTATTTGTTTTCATTTAGTTGTTGACTGCAATTGAGGAGTTGGAAGGACAATTAGTCCAAAGCAGACTCACTAAGCCTGGCTCCATTTCAGCATGACTCCTTTTCCCCTCCTTCTCCTCAGCCCCCAGTTTAAATTAGTCCAAGATGTAATTTAGGGCATTTTGAAATAATTTTGAAGTCTCTTCTTTTTCCAAATGCTGAATTTTTTCAGATATTAAAATGCTTTAAAAAACAACCAATTTATATTTTTAAAATATTATTCTCATTCATAATATTATATAAATAATTGCCTATTATCTATGAATATGGGCCATAAGGGTTTATAGGGCACATGGTTATTTACCTTTTTATTGAATTTATGTGGGTGACACTGGTTAACAAAATTATACAGGTTTCATGTGTACAATTCCACAACATATAGTCTGTACACTGTATTGTGTGTTCACCACCCCAAGTCAAATCTCCGCCCATCACCATTTATCCCCCTATACTCTCCTCTCCATCCCCCAACATCCCTTTCCCCTCTGGCATTCACCACCCTGTTGCCTGTGTCCACAAGTTTTTTCTCCTTTTTTTCTTTTTTGTTCAATCCCTCCATTCTCACTCAGCTCCCTCTCCCCACAACCCCCACAGCTGTCAGCCAGCTCTCTATCTATGAGTTGGTCTCTATATTGCTCGTTAGTGTATTTTGCTCATTAGATTCCAATATGAGTGAAATTAGATTACAATATGAGTTGTCTTTCTCTGACTGGCTTATTTTATTTAGCATAATGTTTTCCAGGTCCATCCATGCTGTCAAAAAAGGTAAGATTTTTTTTCGGCTGAGTAGCATTCCATTGTGTAAATGTACCACAGCTTTTAAAATTTTTTTCTTTCTTTGTTGATTAAGGTATTACATATGTGTCCTTATCCTCCATTGCCCCCCCCCC